CCACAATTACAGAGAGGTTTGCTATGTACCCATTCACCACTCTTCAACTTAGCCTGGGGTAGGACAGCCACACAAACATCCCACTCCACTTTTTCTCTAAACTCCCCTCTACTCCCATTTAAGTGATATTTTTCCTATTCTGGATAGAGGTGGAATAGAAAAAAAAATGTTCTGCCCAATAGCATTGTTTTTCAAATTTTAATGTCTCACACCTGCACTTTGCCTTTTGAATTTAAAAGGAAGAATGCTGACATCTTTGTTCTTGGGTCACCCACTTTGGACTGAGACCCTCAAGAGTACACCCTGAGGCTGGGAAGGACTTCATTCATAGTAGGACTTTATTCATAGTACACAAATCTGGCCACAGTTGTTTTTGTAGCTTTAAAATATTTCACTTCCAAGTATCTCAATATTCAGTAAAATAAAATCATTCTAAAGTATAAAATAATTGCCATCAAATTCATCTTTTTTCTGTTGGCAGGAAAGAGATAGCAAGAATGCCAACTGACTGAAATGACAAAGGGACACGGGAGTAAAAAGTAACTCTTTATGATTAACCAGTTGATAAAATCACCAAATATTTGTGTTCTACCTCAATAACACACTACTCTTAGAATGAAAGTCCCACTGTGTTCAGAGAGTGAGAGAGAAACAGAGAGTAAGAAGAGGATGGGAAAGAAGAGGGCTTTGTTAAGGCAATAACAACATTCATAATTTTTCCAGGCTTCAGACTTGGTTATCCTCTCCTATAAAAGGGTAGAAGCAGAATTCTTTCAGATTTCTGTGCAGGCCTGAAAACACTGACACTTCCTTACTGAATCAGGGAATTCGCATGTATATTCTACCAAAAATAATCCCACCTGCACCTGGCACCTCCCTCTGTAGAAACTGACATCTCCTGCAAGGAAGTCAGTCCTCACTCAACAAATTTGAACTTCCCTTCAAACCAATATCCTCAAATCACACCTTGCAAAGGTCATTCCCTAATGAAACATGGTTGCCTATCTGATTAGCAGCCTAAAATGGCAACCATTAAGTACTAATAGCTAATAATATTTATTAAGCAAATACTATGTATTAGTATTGCTTTATGGACTTCTTGTGTATTAATCCCCACATAAGCCTGTGAGGTATTGTTCCTACCCTTTTATGTCAGATGAAAAAACTGAAAACCAGAGAAGTTAGCTGCTTTCCCAAAGATATATAGCTAGTAAGTAACAGAGCCAGGATTTGAACCCTAGTAGTCTTAACTCCAGGGGCCTATCCTCTTAACCATTATGTGACTCTCCCCCTTAGAAAGAGACCTAATATGATGGTATCATTTAGAAGTATATAATTTACAATTTACCTATGGCCTTGCCTCCCAACGACTTTACTCCCTAAATCTCACTGTTTATATTAGCTGTTTTCAGTCTTTACATCTAAAATGCAACAGGGTACATTGTGTTCTCTTGACATAATGGAATACAGAACAAATCTTCAGCAGGAATATAATCTTCACGTAAAATTCAGAAACAGGCAGGTCCTACGCTCGCTCATACCATCATCAAGGTTTACTTCCAAGTTTCCAGTGACATTAGCACTAACAGAATTCAAGCACTTGGAAGGTTGAATAAAGCAGGTTTGGAGAAATAAACTTAGTTTAGGGCATTCATTCATTCATCCTCAAAACACTTTTAGAGCATTAGATACCCACTTGATACTGTGCTGGATTCTGGGCATTCAATAAAAAACCATTCTAAGTTGTTGCCCTCTGGCAATGTTCATGCTAGAGAAGACTGAGAATAAAAAGATAAACAATAAGTAAGAAACAGGATTCTGAGACCGGAGGAGGAGGAAGCCCGGCACCAAGCCAGTCCAGACTGGAGGAGGAAGCTCGACCTAGCCATGCGCTAGTCCAGAGGAAGCCCATCAACCCTTAAAACCCATCAAAGGGACTGTGGCTACCAACATGGTTCTGTGGTTGATCCAGGTACCCGGTTTCCAACTCCCCCACCCTTAGCTGCGACAACTCAAAATATTTCCCACAAGCTTTTGGGGGGTGTAGCTATCAACACAAAACAACAACTGTACAGGCACCTGGTTTCCACCTCAGAGACTAGAGTAGGGAGGTTACAGGTAGAAGGCTCATATCCTTTCATACTGGCTATATCCAGAAACAGGATGCTGTGACAAAATTACCAAGGGAATTTCTTTTTTGTGGGACATTTTGGGATATAATAAATTTGAGATGCTCAAAGATATGCAGGTGCATATACAGGTCCTAATGACACACTGTCACTATGCCTTGTGTCAGATTCCCAGGAACATCCAGTTAAGAATATCTCATGATGCTACAATGCAAACTTCTCAACCTGATGCTCCAGGCCCTGCTCCAGGGAGCCCTGTCCCTCTATTCTCTTACCACCACCATTCCCAAACACATCCTCTCCATTTCATTTAGGCTAATTTTCTCATTGGCCCATATTAAGTTTACTCCCACCCTTTTCTCTGCCTTACACCTATCTTTCCTTTTACTTATCCTTCCAGACCCACCTTCCTCATTCTCTTCTACTTAGAATTACCAAGCTTCCCTCTCCTCTAAACTACTAGTTCCCAGATAATAAATTACCTAAAAATAAAGTATTCTGACCTTTGCTGCCATTTTACCTGTGCAATAGCCCAAGACTTTAACACATGGCACCATAATCTCACAGCACCTGGGGGCAGTAAGAGAAAGGGATATGGCACAATTCCAGAATACTCAGAGACAAAAGGTGGAGAGAAATTACACAGCCTCAAAGAGGCAGCTTGAAGGTAAAGGGCACAATTCCCAAGTAGAGGAGTACAGAGTCTCCAATCAAGTAAAAAGACCCCAACAATGGAGAATACAGATGACAATACAGCTTAAGAAGGGAACTAAGAATCCAGGTGAGATTGCTAATTGAGGAGTAGAGAGAAAATCACAAGGCCGTCTCATAAACTGGTCCAAGACAGGGTAAACTGGTCCGAGACAGAGTACAGGTAACAGAGACTTGTGACTTGGGGATAACTATTTGGACTAGATATTGCCTGGAAGCAAAAGAAACCTGGGAAAAAATTCAGGAATTTAGGAACTAAGAATGGATGACCAAGTTTAAGAACATGCCTTAATTCTAAGTTAACTTTTGGACTTATTTTGAGAAAAGTGAGAATAGATGAAAGAAAAGAGATGAAAGTCAAAAATGTTTATGTACAGATCATTAGACCTTTAAGGGAATTGGCCATGTCTTTGCCTCACTTCTATCCTCCATAGCACTTAGCAAAATAAATATTTGCTGATTACATTTTTTTTAAAAAAAGGTCACAGTTTGTGTATTACCCAATGGAGGGTAAGTATGCCAAGATAACATGAGTTATCACTTAGCAGGCATGCATTGTATAGGTTTACGAGAAAGTTCTATCTATTTGGCAATTAGAGTGGTAGTATTATCTGGTGAATGAACACAGTACTAAAAATGAAAACATAAAACTAGACCAGCTTTATTAACAACCTTATAAGAGACCTTAAACAAGTCCCTTCACTTCCCTGAGCTTCAATTACTTCATCTATAAAGAGGTAAATATAACTGCTCTAACTTTTTCAAAGTATTTGGAACACTTTTCCTCTAGATTTCTTCTTAACCAACTTCATTCCCTTTTTGAATCCTAGTTTAAATCTTGCCTTCCTACTGAGGCCTATCCTAACTAACCTATCTAAAACAGTAACCTACCCATCTCAACATGCCCACCAAACCACTCTAATCTTTTTTTTTTTCTCAACACTTATGACATACTACCTAATTTGTTATCTTTATTTATGCTTGCTAGAATGTAAGCTCCATAAAGGCAAAGACCTCTGTCCTATTTGCTGATGTACTTCAAATTTCTGAATGATGTCTCAAACAGAATAAACGACCAATAAATATTTGTTGAATATACAAATTAATCTAATAATGGGTAAAATCTTATGAAAGAAAGATTAGGATAATAAACCACTTAAATTCTCCTTGAGGCCAAGATTTCCTGTTCACACCATCAAGCATTCAAATATCTCCGGGTACTCTGTACCATAATGTGGGATTGGTGTTCAAAATTAGAGGAACCAAAGGGCAAGTACAATCACAGTGCTCTGGGGCCCCCTGCTGACAACTCTTAGTCACTACCCAAGCAATTAAACTGACAGGACTTTTCATAGGTGAATGGGATTATAAAGAATATCCACCTTCACCCAATGAGGACATTAAGGCTAAAGATTTAAAAAAAAAAAAAAAGGAAGGAAGGAAGGAAGTGCTTGGAAATTTCTAAACTTTCCTGGAAGAGATAGCTAGAAGCACTAACCTCTTCTGAAGGACCATACAGCTAGTGTTTCCTAGAACTTATTGTCCACTTAC